TAAGGGTCGCTGATTACGAATCTAACATTAGTTTTCTAAAATTCAAAATGGCGGATCCAATATGGCAGACGACAAAATAAAAAATTATTTATAATAGCTTGAAACTGAATATTCGGGGGTTTTTAGGGTCGCTGATTACGAATCTGAAATCAGTTTTTCAAAATTCAAAATATCTGGTTCAATATGGCGGAAAATTTTTTAAAATTTATTGAATTTGTTTGAAACTGGTTAATATGACATCAGTATGATAATTTTTGGTGAAATCGAATTTCGATAAATACCCTAGAAAAATAATGACAGATTCGTAATCAGCGACCCTAATAACCCCCGAGTATTCAGTTTCAAGCCAATGTGATCAATTTTTTATTTCGTTGTCCGCCATATTGGATCCGCCATTTTGAATTTTGGAAAACTAATGTTAGATTCGTAATCAGCGACCCTCAAAACCCCCGAGTAACCGGTTTCAGGAACATTTAAGAAGTTTTTAATCACTTTTTTTAAGTTGCGCATATATATGCGTCATGAAACACTTTTGGCCAGTTTTGTTTTGCGCATATATGCGTCAGCGACAGTCAACGGGTTAAATCAACCATATCAATAAGAATTATAGAGAGGAAACTCTTGTGGCAAAAAAAGTTAGGACAAATGAAAATTCGACATTCTAAAAGTTTAATGCTTTAGAAATTCGACCTTTTGAAAATTCTATATGTTTTATAAATTTTGGTACTTTGGAAATTCACTCATACGAAAATTCGGTTAACTACAAATATGGTTAAATAAAAATTTGATTGAATAAAAATTATTTTAAATATAATTTCAACTAAATGTAAATAGTTGTACATCAAAATTATGTTAAATATAAATTCTGTGAGATTATAACTCAATTACATATATTTTAGGTTACATAAAAATTCGATAGTATAGAAATACTACGATATAAAAATTCTGATAATTGACAAATTTTTTAGGTTATAATCCTTTTAAATAAACTTTTATGTACTTAAAATTTCATTTAAGCAAAATTTTTATTTTTTAAAATACATACTATAAAAAACTATGAAAAACTAAATGTTCTATTTTTTCATATTTCCCTACATGGATATTTTTATAAATTAAAATACAGTCAAATGAAAAAAGCAGTTAATAAATATTTCTTCAAATACTAATTTCTTGTGACAAAAATTTGTTTAAAAGAAAACTCGAATTATTGCAGTTCTAATAAGTAGATATTTTAAGTTTTTTATTTCGATACACAAAAATTGTTGCAAGTTCAATGTGGGGAATATTCATGCGTCCCACCCTGCGGCTTGTGCAGGGAAAGAGTAATAAAAAAAAAAAAAATACATAAACTATGAAATTAATTATAATAGGTGCAAAACCTTCCATTTTTTCAATTTCTGACAATAATTTGAAAAATTTTAATAATTCAAAATTTTCTAAAATTAGTTAAATTTGTCAATATATATTTAATCAATTATTAAAAATAATGGATTTATAAAAGAATTTTAGTTAAAAACACTAAAAAAAAATTGAATTTTGAAGAAGTTATAAATAATTGCAGAAATTCAATTATACTTTCAAAAGTAATTAAATTCTTATCACAAAATTAAATTATTTTCAAAAATTTTAATACAGTTATTCTTGTAAAAATTTTAATTATTTTCAAAAATTTTCAATACCTCTACTATTTTAATAAAACTAGTTAAGAGAAATCAATTATTTAAAAAAAATTGTAATAAAATTGTACGCAAACATTTAATTATATTCATAAAGTAATAAAAATTTCACAGCAATTCAATTGAGGCCTTGGATCCAATAACTCGCCCGCCGCTCGAAGGCACGCGCTAATACCAGTCGGGTAGCAGTGAGTGGCCCAGAGGCGCTCACTGCTCACTGACTGGCAGTTGCGCGTTCCTCCGAGCGTCGGGCGAGTTATTGGATCCAAGGCCTCAATTATTTACAAATTTTTTTTATAAATTTCTTCGCATTCATTCAATTATTATTTTCATGAATAATAAAATTTTTACGGGGATTCAATTACTTTCGTAAATAATAAAATTCTTTTTAGAAATTCAATTATTTTCGTAAATAATTGAACTCAATGCAGAATTTCAATTATTTTTAATACAATTTTAATCGAATTCATCCTTGAAAAATGTAACTATTCTTAAAGATTTTATTAAAATTCGTCAAAAGAATTCAATTATTTAAAACTTATGTAATACAATTATTTATAAGAATTAAAGTTTAAGAAACATTCAATATTCAATTAATAATTTACTTTTCTATTTAAATAATTGAATTTTCGTAGAATTTTCGAATGAAAATTGATTTAAAAATTAATTTTAGTTAAAATTTTATAATTCCTATTTAAAAATAATAATAATTAATTATTTATTTAAAAAAAAAGTTATTGATGTTTTTGAATAATTTTGCAATTAAAGAAATTCGTAAATAAATGTAACAGAACACTTTTTTGAGTAATATTTATCTTTATTTTCTAAAAATTTAAAAATTTTCAATTTCATTATCAAATTCATTTTCAACTAAAATTTGTTTAAATACCTTTTTTTAAAATAAAATTAGCAATTTTAAAAATAATAGAATCTAAAAATTTTCTAATTTAAATTTTTGTTGAAAACACTAAAAGAAATCAAATTTTGAAGAAATTACAAGTAATTGCAGAAATTCAATTATTTTCGAAAAAAGAATAAAATTCTTCTTATAAAATTCAACTATGTTCAAAATTAGAAAAAAAAAATTCGTAAAAATCCTAATTATCTTTATAAATAACAAAATTCTTCTCCAAAGTTAAATTATTTTCATAAATGGCAAAAAAATTCTTGTCCTAATTTCAATTAATTTCAAAAATTTTTCTAATTTCAATGATTTTCAATATCTACTATTTTAATAAAATTTCCCAAAAAGAATTCAATTATTTAAAAAAAATTTTAATAAAATTGTATGCAAACATTTAATTATTTTCAGAAATAATAAAAATTTCACAGGAATGCAATTATTTTTATAAATAATAAAATTTTTTTAAGGATTTCAATTATTTTCATAAAAAATAATTTAAAATTCTAAAAAATAATAATTGAAATAAAATGATGAAAATAATTTTGATGAAGTTACAGTAACAATATTCTTATAATGTAAAATAATGATTTTATCTCTCGCGGTCATCTTTAATTATTAGAAAACATGAAGAAATCGATCACTCCGAGTCGAAGACTCGGAGCAATCGGTATCTTCATGTTTTATAACAATACTTTTATAAGTTGTTTAATTTAAAAAAGTTTTGAATTTAAAATTTTTGAATGTCTTAATTCCTGTGGAAAATCCTGTTCCAAAAATAAGATTAAAAATAGAAATTGTGCAAATATTTTTCTTCTTTTTCTAAAAGAAAATTAATAATAATTTTGTTAAAAAAAATTGTGATTCATAAAGAAAAATAATGCAAAATAAATAAATTTTCTATTTCTCAATCACAGTTGTTTAACAATTTTCTAATTTTGTTTACAAGTAATAAAGAACAAAAATCTGCATGATTTCAATATGACAAAACATAATATTTAACAAAATTTTAATCATTTAATGAAAGGAAGTGAAAAAAAATCTGATGATTTCTATTTGTCATTACAATTTTGAATTAATTGAATTAATTATAAAATAAAAATAATTTTATTACAATATATCTAAAGTTAACAAAAAAAAATATAAATAGATGACAACTTCAGAGTGTGAGAGACAGAAAAAGTGAATGAACGAAAGAACATTCAAATTATTATAGTTAATAATTAATTGACAAATAGAATTTATAAACATTTTTTTACTTTATTTTTGAAAAACTTTGAATTTTATTAAAAGTAAAACAATTTTAATTAAGAAATAGAAATTATGTAAATTATTTCCTTATGAAAATGGAAAATTTTCTACAAAAATATTAAGAAACGGGAATATGTAATGTTTTTTTCCCCCAAAATAAAAGAATGAGTTTGTGAACAATATTGTTATTAAGAAATATATATAAAAATTATGCATAAAATGGGTATTTATTTCCTACTTCTTAATCACAATTTTTTAACAATTTTCTATTTTTTATAAATAAAAAGGAAAAAAATTTGCATAATTTTGATCAGTCAAACGAAATTTGTTATAGAAAAAATCATATATAATAAAATATTTAAAAATTTTAATATTTGAAAAATTAAAATATTGAAATAATTGTTATTAAATAAAAAAATTCGACATTTTAAAAAGTGTAAAATATTTCTGATTCCAAGTATGTATATATATATACTCATTCTCTCTGTGTGTACACGCGCTTTTGAAAACAAATTTCTTCCCTCCCTCCACTCCCCCGGCAAACGCTGGACAAATTTATATTGTCGGTACACGTGTCTGAATGGAGTGAGGCATAGACAAGTAACTAATCTTGATGTTCGAAACTTCTGGAATCTATTTGAATTTTATTTAAATGGATTGCTCGTTTCCTGGAATAATTTTCCAACCTGCTCCATTAGCGAACTTTTCAAATGAAATTCTTCACGAATGGAATGTTTTTTTCTTTCTTCCGAAACATAATACATATAATTATACTCATAATCGACTCATTTTTATATATTTATTATTATAATATAAAATGTCCTGTTCATATTTAAATAAAAAGAAAAAAGATAAATAAAAAAAATAAAATAATGAAAATAAAAATAAATATTAAAAATAATGAAATAATAAATAAAAAAATGAAGAAAATAGAAATTTTATTATATTTTGAAAAAAGTGAAGTTCGATGAACTTGTTGAATGAAATGCGAAAAAAAGTTTTAATTGGATTTATATATTTTTCTTATTTTTTTTTATTTTTTTCTCCACTTTCTGTCTTGATTTTGGCTTCGAGACTTGTTTTTCAAGGAATATTTAGATCTAAGAGGGAAATGTCAGTGAAACATTTAAGTTTATGTTTTATTTTCACTCTCTTTTTTTCTCTATTTGAAGGCAAATAAACCACTAATGGAAAAGCGACGACGAGCGAGAATCAACCAGTCTTTGGCGGCGCTAAAGGCCCTCATTCTGGATAGTGCTCGCCTAGAAAATACAAAACACAGCAAATTGGAAAAAGCTGATATTCTCGAATTAACAGTTCGACATTTACAGAGGCAACGCTCTCTGGCCCAGCCTGGATTATCCAGGTATAAGGCTGGATATCAGGATTGTTCACGTGAGGTGAGAAGACAAATTTTGTTTACAAGCATTTTTACAAATTTTTAACATTTCTATAAATTTTTTAACATTTTTACTAATTTTTTTTTGTTCTATAATTTTCACCATTTCTACAAATTTTTACCATTTTTACAAATTTTTTTATTTTGTAATTTTTTACCATTTCTACAAATTTTTACCATTCTTACAAATTTTTCAAATCCTTACCAAATTTTACCAATTTTAGAAATTATTTTAGATCCTATTTTTTTATTTTACAATTTTATAATTATTTCTTGTGGGTATTCTGAGAGATGGATATTTTACCTAATAAGTAGAGTTTTGCTTAGTTTTTGTTTTTTATTGTTTTTTATTCATATTTGCGGTTTTTTGTTTAAAATCGTTTTTTAATTATTATGTTATAAAAATGGACTGAATTTTTGTATTTAGGCCTTTTTTATTGAAAAATACTTTTGTTTAGATTTTAGTTCTTTTAGTTATTTTTATTAGTTTTTTGTTTCTTTTAGTTTTCTTTAGTTTCTACTTTTCATTTATTTATTTTTTTTAGTTTCTTTCAGTTTTTATTTATTTTCTGTTGTTATAATTTGTAGTTCATTCAGTTTTTTTGTTTCCTTTAGATTTTAGTATTTAATTTTTAATTTCTTATAGTTTTTAGTTCTTTTTAGCTTTTGATTTTCTTCTTTTTTTAGTTTCTTTTTTTTCTTAGCGTTTATTTTTTCGTTTTTTTTAATTTTTGGATTTCTGTTTTCATTTAGTTTTGTTGTTTTTTAGTTTTTATATTTTAGTTTCTTTTAGTTTTTTTAGTTTTCTTTAATTATAACGGTTCCTTTAGTTTTTACTTTTCTTCAGTTTTTTTTGTTAATTTTAATTTTTTTAATTTTTAGTATTTATTAGTTTTTAGTTTTCTTAATTTTTTTTTCCTTTAGTTATTTATTTTCGTTAGTTTTTATTTTTTAGTTTTTTATTTCTTTGAGTTTTTGTTTTCTTAAGTTTTTTGTTTAGTTTCTTTTAGTTTTTAGTTTTCTTTAGTTTTTGTAATTCAGTTTCTTCTTAGTGTTTTTGTTTTTGAATTACTTTTAGTTTCCTGGTTCCTTTCGCTTTGTGTTCTTTTTTATTAGTTTTATTTTTTAGTTTCTTTTGGTCTTTAGTTTTCAGTTTCCTTCAGTTTTTATTATTCTTTAGTTTTTCTTCTTTGGTATTAATTTTTTTTATTTTTTGTTTAGTCTTTATTTTTTATTTTATTTTTTTCTATTTTTATTCTATTTTAGTTTTCTATTTCCATTTTTTTTATTGTTTTTTCATTTTAGTTTTCTTCAGTTATGTGTTTTCTTTTCTTATTTTTTTTTTAGTTTTTAGTTTTTTCTTTTCTTTATTTTTTGGTTTTCTGTTTCCTTTAGTTTTTTTAGTCTTATTTTTTAGTTTTTTTTGGATTTTCTGTTCCCTTTAGTCTTTAGTTTTCTGTTTCTTTTAGTTTTTTGTTTCTTTAGTCTTATTTTTTAGTTTCCTTTGGATTTTCGGTTCCCTTTAGTCTTTAGTTTTCTGTTTCTTTTAGTTTTTTGTTTTTCTAGTTTTCTGTTTCCTTTAGTTCTTTGTTTTCTTTAGTTTTTATTTTTTAGTTTTCTATTTCTTTTTGTTTCCTTAAGTTTTTATTTTTTTTTTAATTTGTATTTTTTGTTTTTCGTAAAGAAAATTAATTTTTTTGGTTTCTTTTTGTTTTAATTTTTGGTATCTCAGTTTAATTTTAATTTTAACTTTTAGTCCAGGTGAATTTTTGGTTTTTATATATTTATGTTTTTTTTTTGTACACCTTAGAAGTAGGGAATTTTTATCTTTTTTTTCCTTCTAAATTTGTACCACAACTTTGCACTTGACTTGTTTTTTTTCAAGAAGAATAAAAGAGCACCTCTATGTTTCCTTTTTTGCTTAGTGCCTTAGGCTTTAACTTTTTGCACGTGTTTCCACCGTCTCGTTAACTTATGAAGTCTTTCTTTTGACCTTCCTTGAGTCTTACTCAACAGAATTATTATTTTTTTTTTTTTTTGAACTATATTTGTAAAAGTAACTTTTAGAAAATTCTAATTTTACGCAAAAGTATTTTTTGTTGTTGAATGTTTTGGAATACCAACAAGAGATTAAAGAAATTTTTGTCTTTCGTAAAATTGAGTGTAAATTTCTGTTTAGATTGACTATTAACACTTATTTAGATTTTACACTTACATTAACTTTTATTGGAACTTTTTTACATTAGTTTTAATTTTCCACTTGTTTAGATTTTGCATTAGTTTTAATTTGACATTAATTTTACATTTTCCACTTGTTTCAAGTATCGAAACTGTTTTTTTTCGCAGGTGAGTCGTTATTTGGAAGCACCCGACATCATAACCGGAAATACAACGCCAATGGATCCGGCAGTGAAGCAAAGGCTACAGCGTCACTTGGACAGTTGCGTTTCGGAATTGGATTTGGATTTGGGTTCAAGGCCCGACAGTGGTCTTGGCAGCAGTCCCGGAAGTGTGACAGATCGAATAACAGGCGTAACGAGTCCCGGTCCTTTGGATCATCACACACCCCATTGCAGTACGGCACTAAAGCCAGCAGTAATGAAAACGGAAATTCCGGAAATTGAGGCCGACAGACCCGACAGCAGTACAACGGCCGGCGACGAGAACAACAACAGCAGTAGGCCAACATCCGCCTTCAGTCAGGTGAATCCAACGAGTCTCGATCCACATCAGCAAAGCGAAATTTCAGCCGATCAAGCCTCAACATCGCAGGACAATGCCAACATGCTGTCCGTGGTTCAAGTAATACCATCGAGGCTACCCGACGGTCAAGTCGTGTTCCTCCTGCCTAGTCACTACGTTCAATTGGCAGCAGCCGCTGCGGCGAACGGCATCAGCATTGGACCGAATCCACCGACTGCAATTTGGGCCGCGACAAACATGTCACTCCTCAAGACAACTGACAAGTTGAACAAAAGGCCACACGACGATCTTCAAGACTGGTCGACGGACGGTGCGAAGCACAACAAGAAAACATCAAAGCTGGAGCAACCGGAGCAACCACTCGACTTCACCACATCGGGCAAGAAATTGGCGAAAATTCCCCGTATTAATAATGTCGATAATGCTGGACAACATCATCAACATCAAATGCGATCGGCAATTATCGATAATACAATTATTAATGAGGTCAGACCTTCTAGTCATGCGAGTAGTGAGACTGGACGAATGGATTTATTACCGCCTGTTAGTCAACAGACTGTCAAGGATGAGGAAGGCATGTGGCGACCTTGGTAAATCCGAATTTGTACAAAAAATAATGTTTTGCGCGCGATTTTCAAGTAATGGCAAAGTTGTTCAGTTCACAGTTTTTCTAAGGATATATTATCACATCGAGACAACAATTTTCCTACGCTTTTTTCTCAATTTGAGATCCTTAGGAAAAGAGTGTCAAAATGATGCTCAGCAACAATTTCAAATCCTTAGAAAAACTGTGAATTATTATTAAAGACACGATGTCAACTTTGATGTATAGAACAAGAAACAATAGACGGTGGTGTTAACATTAAAGTTATATTGTTGTTTCAAATAAAGGACATCTAAATAACGTCTTATCTTATTTAAACGATATATAAGAAGTTATATCTGATAGTAATCGTTTTGCAAATTCGATATCTAGCGAGGAAAAATTTTTTATGAAATTATAATCAACAGACATGTGTTACGATTTTTGTTTAACTTTTGGGTGATTTTGCAACTAGTTCTGCACCAGTTGTTCTTTATTCTTTAAGTATTTCTTGCTTACCTTCAGGTATTCTTTAATATTCTTTAGCTTTACGCACTTTTTGATTATTTAAATATTAAATTATCTTCGAGAGTTCTTCGATTATTTTCGAAGATTACAGGACAAAAAATCCAAATTAATAAATCCAGACCCGAAAGTCCAAGAAAAAAAGCCCAAAGTACAAAAAATCTAAAATAAAAATGTCCAAAGTCAAAAAATCAAAAATAAATAAAATCGTCCAAAATAAATAATGAAACTTGTAAAAAAGCCACATTTTTACTTTTCGCTATAAAATCGGAATTATTTTCAACATTTTTGATAAAATTCTTTACAAAAAATTCAATTGTTTTGAAACATAAAAAAATTTCTAGAAGAATTTCAATTATGCTATAAAATTTTTACTACAATAAAAAAAAATTCTTTACAAAAATTCAATTATTTTCAAAAATAAAAAATTTCTTCACAGAATTTCAATTATTTTCGTAAATAAAAAAATTTCTAGAATAATTTCGATTATTCTATAAAATGTTTTTAAAAAAAGGAAAGTTACTTTTTGACCAGGACAAAAACTCCAAAAAAATAAATCCAAAGTGAAACTATTTGTTATTTTAATTTTTTGGATTTCATTTACTTTGGATTTTTTGGATTGGACTTTTTGTTTTGGACTTCTTGTCCGAATACCATTTTCGATTATTCTTTAATTATCTACAAGTATTCTTTGATTATCTTCAATTTATTATTCTTCGATTATTTCGACTATTATTAAGTATTCTTCCATTATTTTGAGTATTTTTCAAGTATTCATAGATTATTTTAATTATTCGTTGATTATTTTTGAATATTTTCCGAAAATGGTGCGAGATGGAAGAGAAAAGTGAATAAAACAGGAACAAGACAAAACAGAAAAATTAATAAAACTGGAACAAAATAAAAACAGAAAAATTAATAAATCCCAAAAAAAAAAAATGAATCGGAAAAATAAAATAAAACCAGAACAAGAAAAAATGAAAAAAATCGAATGGAGATAAAAGAAGAAAAGAAAGAAAGGAGAAAGAAAAATTACCAAAACTGAAACAAGACAAAATCACTATCAGAAAAATTAATAAACTAAGAAAAATAATAATAAGAGATGGAGAAAATAAAAATGTAAAAATAATAATAAAAAAATAAAAAAAGAACAAATTCGCAACACATGACTGTGAAAATTATCAACTGATATAATTTCCTTCTATTTTTTGTGTTTCTGAAAATTATCATTCGAGTTACAGCGACTGAATATGTATTAATATTGTTATTCGAACTATGAAACAAAACAAGGAATAATTTTTCTTTTCTATACTTATCAAATGTAAAGAATCACTCGTTATTGTTTGATGATTATATCAACTAAGCACTTGATCTAATAATTATAATAAATAGTAACAGAATCTTATGGGTCTAAATCTAAAAAAATCATTAAAAATCATTAAAGAAAATTTTTAAATCATCCTCTTCTTTATAATTATTATCTAAAATCACTAAATAAACAAATAAGATTATAAATTAAAAATGCTATTATTGAATAAGAAAGTGTAAATTTATATAAAGTTTCTGTTGAATTGAAAACAAATGAGATGAAAATGCATTTTTGTTTTTGTAAATTATTTAGTAAATGTAAATGAAATTAATTTTAGTTAATTATTTGAATTGAATTTCGGTAATTATTTGAATTAATTTCCAGACATATTATTTAAATTAATTTTCGTCAATTATTTGAATTAATTTTCGTTAATTATTTAAATTAATTTTCGTTAATTATTTGAATTCGTTTTCAATTTATTAATAAGCTGTATAGATTTGCAAAAAGGTTTTAGACGTAAAAAGCATTTTTTTTTCTATCTTCTGTCTTTTTATCTCATTTGGTTTCGCGTGTTATATTACTTGTGAGCGACACGAAAACTTTTACGTAAGTTTCAGTCATGCTGTTAATTTTTAATGCTGTAATTTATGTAAAATATATATATCACACACGTAAATTGAGCGATTTATGTTGAAATTAAAATTGCCGGAAAAATTTTCTGCATTTGAAAATTGCTTTGCTCCGATTTTTGCTATTTTTTATATTTTTTTTTGTTGTTTTTTTTAATTTCAAATTTTTATTAAAATATAGAATTTAAAATTAAAGAAACAAAAAATTTTATTTTCAACTAAAATATATATAGAAAGTTTGTTTTAGTAAAAAGAAAAAGATAATTTTACGTATGCAGAATAAATTTTCTATAGGAAAAGAAAAATTTCTTTTCTACTTTTGTTATGTGAATTTAATACGCAAATTTATAATTATATTACTCAATTTAAGAAATAATTAGTTCATGTTTTGTGCTACCAAAGAAAAATGTTCTGTTCACTTTTGAAAGTTTATTTTGCCAATAATAGCGTTAATTTAAAATATTTTGTTAATGTTCTACAAAGTATAATATTATACTAATATTAAAATAATATTTTAATAATATAATATTATATTAATATTATAATATAATATTTTATAAAAAAAAAACCGAAAACTCATCGACATTTATATAAATATATGATAAATACAATAGAATTCCACATAAAATAATTATATTTTATTGTACAAATTTGAAGAAAGCAAAACTAAAAACAAATTTTTTCTATAAAGCTTTTTTTTATCGCTTTTCTCTCTATTATTATATAGCATTTTTTTGTTTACAAATTCCTATAGTAAGATAAATTATTGAGCTACTAAAAGCGCTGGAAAAAAAAATTATATTCCATTTAAGAATAAATGTGTCTCATCTCATCTTTTAAATACTTTTTCTTACGAAAAAATTTTTTTATTTCAAATAAAAATAAATTATTAATAAAATATATATTGTTTTTAATTATAAAAAATTATAAAATATTGTTTAAATTTAAAAAACTTATAAAATATTGTTTAAATTTAGAAAATTATAAAATATTGTTTACATTTAAAAAATTATAAATTATTGTTCAAATAAAAAAAACGAAAACATTAAATAAAAATTGAGACAACTTCTTAAAATGGAGAATAAAATTTTTTTTCAAGTGACGACAAAGAAAATATTTGTGAAAACAATTTTCACGCATTTTCTATTTAAGCCATACATCGAACTTGTAACAAGTGTCGAAATTTGTTTGTTAAAATATTCATGAAAGAAATTTTTAAAGAACTACTTGAAAATTGAACATATAATTGAAGAAAAAAGAAATTGTAAAAATTTCCGTTTTATCATAATCTCGAAAATAATCGGAGAAAATTTATCAATTTATCATCATAAATATTATCATCCAATTTTATTAAAAATCTGTACCTATTTATTAACGTAGTGCAAATGAAAATAAAAATTCGCGCAATATCGAATTTTACTATAATGTAAATTATAAAATGTAAATTACGAGGAGCGGACGAGAGAATTGAAGAAACAAAAAAAAAAAAAATGCAAGAAGAGCACAAAAGAATTTCTTCCAAAAAAATAAAAAAATATATATAACAAAAAGAGAGTGGTTGAAATAAACAAAGAGAAAAAAAAGAAGCTCCTGTATTCTTACATTCTTTAGACACTCTTTAATATATATGTAAATAGTTTTCAATTGATGAATCTTGCTATTAAAAAAAGATAGATTTATTTTGATGTTATCTAGGTATATATGCGAAAGTAATGAATGTGTGTGCGTGTGCGAGAGAAAAATTATACGAAATTATATGACGTAGAAAACATCATTCACGTTCTAGTGTTATTAAGGAAAAAAAAACAAAAATTACAATTACTAAAATATCTTGGAATTTGATTCCGCATTGAGTGTACTTAGTTTTTTTTTGCAGTCAATACACGCAATAATTGAACTGTATCGCGATTTATTTTGACTGCTTCCTTATTGATAATGCAAACCATTCCTGTGATCCATCATCCTTCATCTTTATAAAAGAAAAAAAAAAATATATATATATATAATAAACAATTATCATTTAAAATAATTTGGTTCTTTTTTGTTATTCTTAAAGTTCGATTATTTTATCGATACTAAAAATTTACGAAATTGCGAATTTTAGAATTATAGATCACAAAATTATTATTATTAATATAGTATTTCTATTATTATTATTATTATTATTTTTATTTTTATTATTATTGCAAATTTATATTTCATTATAATGACAACATTTAGTATTATTTATTTATTTATTTAGAAGAATTTATTATGATAAAATTCGGAAAAATAACCAGGAATATTTTTTTTATTATTCTGATAAAATTGTAAATTATTATTATTGTGAAAAAAAATAATTAATTATTTTTTTTGTAAATTTTTTTTAACATAATAAAAAAGAAATTAAAAATTCCAGAGCTCGAACTAGGTCCGTAAATCCCGTAAAAGTCGGTAACTTTGCTTGAAGTCCGTAAAAGTCCGTTTTTTTAAAAAAAAGGTCCGCAAAGTCCGTAAATTGTACGATATAATTTGGATAATTTTAGAGAAATTTCAAATGATTGTAGGAATTCAATTATTTTCAAAAATAATAAAAATCTTCGCAAAAATTCAATTATGTTCAAAAATTTTTTTAAATTCTCGTCACAATTTCAATTATTTTTAGAAATAATTATATTCTTCTCCGAAATTCAATTATTTTCACAAAATTTTAATAAAATTCTTGGCAAAATTTCAATTATTTTCGAAAATTTTCCAAAAGAATTCAATTATTTATAAAAAAAAAATTTAATAAAATTCTACACAAACCTTTAATTATTTTCAAAAAAATAATACAACTTTCACAGGAATTTCATTATTTACAAATTTTTTTTATAAATTTCTTTCCAATCATTCAATTATTTTCATAAATAAAAAAACTAGTAGGTGGTCACTTTTTCTAAAAAATATTTTCTAATCCTTTTTTTCTAAAAAAAAGCATATTTTCTAATGAAATCTGTTTTCTAAAAAAGGTTTTCCTAACAAGTTTTGATTTCTAAAAAAAATTTTTCTAAAAAGTTATGATTTCTAATATTTATTTTCCTAAAATTTTTGTAAAATTCCATATAATTTTGATAAAAGTTAGAAAATTGTTAAAAAAAATTAAGATTAAGAAATGGAAATTATTTTGTATATTTTCTGTTTCTCAATCACAATTTTGTTAACAAGATTATAAGTTTCTTTTTGAAAAAGTAGAAAAATTCTTATAAAATTACTATATTTCTTATCACAATTTGTTAACAAAATTCTGTTCTTCTTTGGAAAAAAATAATAATTTGCATCATTTTTATATCAAAATTTCCAAAATTAATTTATTTATAAAACATTTTTTTAAAAAATTTTAAATATCTTTATAGAAAAAAAATCCCTATAATTTATATTTGTTAATTACGATTTTTAACTAGATTATTTAAAAATTTGCATAATTTCTATATTTTATTATAATTTTTTTAAGAAATCTCAAGTACTTTTTTATAGAATTAAAAAATTTTCATAAATTGTTTTTTAATCATTCGTTATTTCAAAAATTGAATATTGTTAGAAATTTTTTTTTTGAAAATTACCTTCATTAGAAAAAGAAATTGTTAGAAAGTGACCTTTATTCAAGCCTTTATTAAAAGAAAAAAAAATTTAAAAATCACTTTCAATAGAAAAAAGTTTTTTAGAAATTCACCTTTAATAGAAAAAAATTTTTTAGAAAATAAAACAATAGAAAATTCGTTTTAGAAAAACTGTACCCCAATCAAAAAAAATTTTACAGGGTTTCAATTATTTTGGTAAATAACAAAATTCTTATTAGGAATTCAATTATTTTGATAAATAATAAAACTCATTGTAGAATTTCAATTATTTTTAATACAATTTTAATCGAATTCCTCGAAAAAATGTAATTACTTTTAAAAATTTTATTAAAACTCGCCAAAAGAATTCAATTATTTAAAAATTTATTGTTACAATTCTTTATGAGAATTCAATTTTAAGAAACATGCAATTATTCAGTAAATTTTTTTTTGTATTTAAATAATTGAATTCTAGTAGAATTTTCTAATAAAAATTTATTTAAAAATGAATTTCAGTTAAAATTTTAGATTATAATTAAATATTAAAAGCATTAGAGCGTAAATTTTTAGAAATAATTTAATTTTGAAAAGGTTTCAGATTAAAATCTTTGAAAATTTCAATTTTTCATACTTCCAACTAACAATTCTGTGGAATTAATTTTTTTTGAGAAAATTTAATTGCGGATTATTTTTTAAATTATTTATAGTTTTCATTTTCTAATATATATTTAATTAAAGAATTTACGAATAATTGAAATTTCGTAAAATTTAATTGTAAACAAATGCATTTGAAAATTCTTAAAGAACTTTTTCAAAAATTATTAAAAATAATGGATTTATAGAAGATGTTTAGTTTAACACGCAAAAAAAATTCAATTTTAAAAAAGTTACAAATTATTGCAGAAATTCAATTATTTTCAAGAGTAATAATATTTTTTGCAAAAATTAAATATTATTCAAATGTAATAAAATTATTCTTGGGGATTCAATTATTTTCACAAATAATAAAACTCATTGCAGAATTTCAATTAATTTTAATATAATTTTAATCGAATTTCTCGAAAAATGTAATTATTCTTAAAAATTTTATTAAAATTCGTTGATAGAATTCAATTATTTGAAAATTTGTTGATAACGATTCTTTATGGGAATTGAATTTTAAGAAACATTCAATTATTCAATAAATTATTTTATTTTTGTATTTACAATTTTAAATAATTGAATTCTCGTAGAATTTTTTAACAAAAATTAATTTAAAAATGAATTTCAGTGAAAATTTTAGATAATAATTGAATATTAAAAGCAGTATAGTGTGAATTTTTAAAAATACCTAATTGAATTTTTTGTTGAAATTATTATAAATTTTTATTTTCTAATATTTATTGAATTGAAGAATTTATGAATAATTGAAATTTCGTAAAATTGAATATTGTAAAGAAATGGATTTGAAAATTGTCAAAGATTTTTAAATATTTTCCCTGGTTATTCGAGCCTTGAAATTCATTAATTATGAAATTGTTAGATATTAATTATTAATTGATTTTAATAAATATTTATTACCTAATAAATAAATGTTTTTTAGTAAATAAATAGTTATTAATAATAAATGTTAGAAAAAAAATTATTAATAATAACAATTAATAGTATTAACATAGAGTAAAGATTTTTGTTCAGAATAATTAACAATTATTATTAGTTATTAATTTTCAATTATTAATATTTTATTTAACGTAATATTAATATTTTCAATAATTTTTAAACAAAATGATTTATCTATAAAAGTATATATAATGTACCAAAAAATAGTAGGCAAAAATGTGCAAAAAAAATATGAAATAATTAAATACATTAAAAATTAAATAATAGATGAATTTTTACATCTTTCTTTTTATTGATAATGGACCAATTTTTTATTTTTTTAAGAATATGTCCGCTTAATTCTTTGTAACATTAATATATAATCTAACAATCATAAATATTTTTTTTAAGATAAATAACAAATTTTTCTTATTTTGATTTTTTTCCCATTCTTTTCTTGTTTTATAACGTGCGATATATTGACTAATACTTTCATATTTAGCGTATTAATGATTGATTAGCGATATTTAATGGAAGAGATTTTTTATTTTGGAAGTTATGTCTGGAATTTTGTTCAAATATATTTTTCCAAATAAAGTCCAAATAAATATTTTACTTAATGAAATATTTTATTTAAAGAAATATTTCATTTCAATAAATATTTCACACATTTTTTTTCTTTTGAAACAAGAAAAGTTTTTTAGTTTCAAATTTTTGTTTGGAGTTTTCAAAAAATACTGAAATTTTTTTTATTTTAAGCATTATTGTATACTTTCAGATTTTTTTTTTTTTTAATAACTTGAAATAAATAAAACTTTTGAATTTTCGCGGTATAAAGAAGACGAATTTTAATTTAAAATAGAAAATTAAAAATTGATAATATTGAAGTTTGAAAATAAAAAAATTGAAAGTCGAAAATTTTAAATTGAAACTTGAAGATTGAAAATTGAAAGTAGAAAATAAAAACTGGAAAATTGAAATGTTGAAAATTGCGGAAATTACAAATTTTACAATTTTTACTATTATTTCAGGATATAAAATTTTTAATTTAATTTAAATTCCTGCTTTTTGTATATTTTATTTTTGTTTATAACTTTTTGCTCTTCTCTCCGTGTATAGTAATTAATGGAAGAATTGTGAAATTTAATTTTATGATGAAACTTTTTTTTCTGCGTAAATAACAATTGCTCTATATTGTTTTTTTTCTTACAGTGAAATTTGTTTTTCTAAATAATTTCTATACAAAGAAATATATTTGTACACAGTTATATGAATAGTTGTTTCTTTTCAAGCGTTCAACATATTTTATACGCATATAATATAATATATAATATATAATACCACGATTATATAATATATTACTTATATGTATATATCATAAAATACAAATTACTATAATATATATATAGATCGGAAAAATTGACAACTTTACTGCACATACCCAACAATGACGTTTTCTATACTTAGCGTCTATTATTTACATGACTCTAAAAAGTATTTTTTAACAAAAATAAATTATGCATAACAACCAATATATAAGCTATATTATTATTATAATTATTATTATTATTATCCCGTCAAGGGAAATGTCTCTGTAAAGCGAATTTGTCTATTTATTAATATTATTATAATATTAATTGATGTATTAACATTAATAAATATTAATATTATTAATTAATAATTCGCTGAGAAAGATCGATATTATCACCACTATTATTAATATTAATAGTAATTATTTTTTTATAATTAAAATTAATATTATCATTAATTGGCTAATTAATAATATATCAATATTATTAATATTATTATTTATCAATATTACTTTTTTATTTTTTGCATAGGTTTTTTTTACTATTTCTATTATTTATTAATTAGGTCGGTGCCATATATTTATTGACTAAAATTAATCTTTCGCTTATATTTTATTCTTTCATTTTGTCTATTAGTTCACTTGCTAGTGATGATGCATCACTAGATTTCGAAGAAAACCGAAAAAAATTTTTTTTTTATTTCTCGTAATATTTTTCATGAATTGATAAATAATAATTTTTTTTTTGTTTTACACGGGACTGGAGCAAGTTTTATTCACAAGTAGAGTGTCGGAATCTTGATGCTTCCGAGTTAGTGGAGGACTTTGTGATTTTGAACACAGGCACTCTCAAATGGACTTTTTCCTTTTTAAGTCGGTATTGCTGACGAACATGTGCGAGAATTCGGTGCGTGAACTTAAAACCACTAAAACGTCATCTGAAATTAAATTTATTTTTTTTATTAAAAATTAAAATTAAATTAAATTTATTAATTTAAAAATCGATTTATAAAAAATTAAAAATATAAAATTGAAATTAAATTCAATTGTAATTAAATTAAATAAATTAATAATTAATAAATTATTCATTTATTCATAACTCCCTCTAGTCCGTTAAAAATTGAATGATTAATTAATTAATTAACTCCTCTCTTGTAGTAATAAGTAACATAAAAAATATAATTTATAAATAAATGACCTATTATTTATAAAATTAATAATTATAATTTATAGAAATTAATTACCTAAACTAACTCGATCGGCGTTTTCTTCTCTTTTAGCTTGAAGGAAAATCCTTTCTGAATCTTCCAATGAAATATGCAATGAGAGCTTGAGAGCTTTTTCAAGTTCGAGTATATTTAAATATTTCATTCCACTAGGACTACATAGCTGAAAATTAAATTTTTAATTTTTGAAAATATTATTTTAAGCAGAAATTTTTTATTTTCTTTTTAAAGAATTTGTAATTTTTTTTTTCTTTTAAAAGTTAAATTTTTGTCAAAAATAAATTTAAAAACTTTACCTCGAAAGCAAAATTAAGTAAGTCTTGTTCTGAATTTGCTGTTGCAACTGCTACTACAGTGAAGATGTACTCTTCAAAATCTATTTTCCCCGTTCCATGCTGAAAATTTGATAATAATTGTTATTTTTGCGAAAAAAAATTTATAATTATGTTAATTGTAAAATAATTTTCAAACAATTTTTAATTACTTTTGATTGTAAAACGGTTTACGAATTAAATATTATTATTATGTTAATTAATTATTAATTTATTGTAAACCAATTTTATATTATTAACTTTTTTTTATTATATTAACTTTTAATTATTTTTAATTATATTTATATTTATGTTTTATTATTTATTATTTATTATATTTATGTTAATTACAAATTAAATTTTAATTAACTAATTGTTATAATAATTAAAAATTGACTTTGATACTATCCATTATAATAAAAACTAGCAAATGTTAATAGTTTCATAATCAAAATTTAAAAAATTCAATTTTTAAGTACAAAATTAATTATTACTGTTCATATTTTCAAAAATTTTAATAAAATTTCACGAAAGAATTCAATTATTTTCTAAACTTTTAATAAATCCTTTTAAAGGATTAATTTTAATATTTAATTATTTTTAATTATTTTTTTAAATAGTAAAATCTTTATAAAAATTCAATTATTTTTAAAACAATTTTAATTGAATTCCTCGGAAGAATTCAATTTAAAAAAAAATTTAACACATTTCGAAAAAATTCCATTTTTTCTATAATAAAACCTTCGAAAAAATTTAATTATTTTTATAAATAGTAAAATTCTTCGCAAGAATTCATTTAATTTTATAAATAGTAACATTCTTTGCAGGAATTCAATATTATTTCCAAACAATTTTAATTGAATTCCCCGGATAAATTCAAATATTTTTAAATATTTCCATAAATTTCAATTATTTCCTACAATTTTAATAAATTCTTCGAAACAATTCAACTATTTTTATAAATACTAAAATTCTTTGCAGGAAAATAATGATTTTTAATCCAGTTTAAATAAAATTACACGAAAGAATTTAAATAGTTTTAAAAATTTCCATAAAATTCAATTTCTACAAGAATTTCAAAATTCTCTAAAAATAATTGAATTATTTTCAAAATTTTATATAAAAATTAAATTACTTTCAATGCAATTTTTAAATATATTCGTGAAAAAAATTGAAAGAATTCAATTATTTTCGAAACAACTTTAATTGAATTTCTCGAAAAAATTTCATTATTTTTAATTATTTCTTAAAATTTTAATAAATTTGTCGAAACATTTTAATTATTTTTATAAATAGTAAAATTCTTCGCGAGAATTCAGTTATTTTTCTAAGTAATAAAATTCCTTTGAAGGAATTCTATTATTAGTAAATTTTTTTATAAAATTCTTTGCAACAATAATTCGATGATTTTTAATACATTAATTTTAAAATTGAAAATATTTGAAAAAAAAAAATTATAAAAAAGTTAAGAAACAAAAACGCAAACAACAACTAACTTCAAACTGCGAACAGATTATCGAAACATGTTCTTTATTATTTATTAGATATATTAATAATAATTAATAATTGTAAATTTTGAATAAATTTATTATTTTATCAACTAATTTTCAATCGATTTCGGATGTAGTATTATATTAATATTAAGTAATTATTAATAAATTTTTAATTATTTATAATTATATTTATTCTTAGATCTCAAAATGATAAAAATGACTCTATATACTCAATCATGCTCTGCAGAGCGAACATTTTTGAGATGATGAAGTCTTTTGTAAAATCGATGCGAATGAATTCGCGGCGCAATCTCCTCTATTAATAGTGCGCCGTAGTCTATTTCTAATTTCACCTTGTTTTTAATTTTCCAAAAAAAAAAAAAAAAAAAAAAATTAGTAGTCGAGGGACAATTAAATTTTCCATCACTTACCCTGTCATTGATTTTGAAAAGTTGTTGAGTCGTCAGATCCTTATCATCGAGTCTAAGTAATCTGGCGAATTCGTTTAGATCGACTTCGGTTGAAAACCTCTCAGTTTTGTTCTGTACCAATTCCTCCTCGGTTTTTGCTTTTATTAAACTAAAAAAAAAAGAAAAAAAAAATTTAGAGAGTGATTAAATTTTTTTGTTTTTTGCATAATAAATATTTTATTTACCCTAGTTTGTAGCGTAGTTTTTGTGCCTCAACGAGACTTGAGGCATAAGGAATGTGAAGTTGATGAGCTTTTGTTATTATTCTACAATCGTCGTATGTGTAGTCTGACACAGGAATTTGTAGTGCTCTGAAAATTATGGAAATTATTTAATTACACTGGGAAATAATATTGAATGATTAAATTATGATTTGGAAAAAATTAGTTAAAAATTAATTTTTACATTCTGGTATTAGTTTTTTAATTAAAAATACCAAATATTTTTTTAAATAAAACTAATTTTAATTTAAACAAAAATTATACATATATATAAAAATTTTATGTTTGATTCTAACTTAAAAGTATAGAGTATAAATAATTTAAAATCAACCATAACTTATATTTGAATTAAATATATTATTTCTTTAAATGAACCAAAAAATTTGTTTCAATTAAACCCATGTAATTCTCGCAAAGAATTTTATTGAAATTTTTAAAAATCCCACTTACATTCTTTTGAAGAATTTCTTTGAATTTTTTTTTTAAACTAATGGAGTTTCTTTAATAATTTTAATTGAAAATTTTGAAATTGAATTTTATGACGAAGAATTTTATTAGAAGTGAATTGAAAATAATAATTGAATTCTTGGGAAGAATTTTACTATTTATAAAAATAGTTGAATTGTTTTGAAGAATTTATTAAAATTTTAGGACATAATTGAAATTTATAGAAATATTTAAAAATATTTGAATTCATCCGAGGAATTCAATTAAACTTGTTTTGAAAATAATTAAATTACTTCAAAGGATTTTACTATTTATAAAAATAATTGAATTATTGCGAAGAATTTTACTATTTATAAAAATAATTTAAATGTTTCGAAGAATTTATTAAAATTTAAAAATATAATTAAATTATTATAAAGAAATTTATAGAAATATTTGAAAATAATGAAATTTTTTCAAGAAATTCAATTAAAGTTGTTTCGAAAATAATGGAATTTCTTTAAAGAATTTTATTAGAATTATTATTTATATTCAAAATAATTGAATTCATCACAATAATTTTATTATTTTTTGAAAATAATTGAATTCTTTCAATTTTTTTGACGAATATATGTTTAAAAATTGCATTGAAAGTAATTTAATTTTTATATAGAATTTTTTTAAAATCTTTTGAGAATAATTAAATTATTTTTAGAGAATTTTGAAATTCTTGTAGAAATTGAATTTTATGGAAATTTTTAAAAATAATTAAATTCTTTCATGTAATTTTATTGAAATTTGATTAAAAATAATTTAATTCTTGTGAAGAATTTTACTATTTATAAAAATAATTGAATTTTTTCGAAGGACTGCAATTTTCATTTGGTTCAAATAAAATTAGTATCATTTATTTGTATTTTGTTCAAAATAACAATTGCCAATAATTTTCATTTGGTGAAAATAAAAACTGTCCATAATTTTTAATTGGTTTAAATAAATTTTATTTAGTTCAAATAAAAATTGTGTTTGTGAAAAATAAAATTTATTTGAACCAAATACAATTTATTTGGAAAAAATAAATAATCTTGTACACTCTGAGTAGTCAAATACATCTTTTTTCTCTAAATGTAAAAAATAAAATCTATTTTTGTAAATAGAAAATAAATAAAATAATTAATAAATAAAAATTTTTTTGTTAAAAATTTCGAAATGTATGAATATTGTACAGGTGGTACCATCTGACGGACGAGACTTTAGATCGTACAGAATGTGTACCTTTTGCTAGTAACTGATCAAGTTATCTCTGATGGTAACTTAATGTAGATTTTGAATAATTTTTTCCCTTTTTTTCAATTTTAAATTATATTTAGATATTATTTACATAGTCAATACTTTTTATCCACTTTTTTAGAATTTGACAGCTTTTGAAAATGATAATTAAAAAAAATAGCTTTAATATATTATACAAACTAATTTTTACTTAAAAATTTTGCTATTTATTAAAATATCAAAAACATAAATTCGAAATTGAGAATGAATTTTATAATTTTTATTGAATTAATTAATTTATTTATTAATATATTAATTGTAAGAGAAAGAAAGTAAAGTTTTTATTAATTAATTAATATTTACTGTAACTTCTTAAGTAACTATTCAATTGTTTCATTTCAATTAATAATATATGAAAAGTAAAAAAAATTCTATTCGTAGAGTAAAAAATTCAATTAAAGTAAAAAAGTAAGAAATAAGTCAATTAATAAAATGAAAAAGCAGAAGAAATTCATTTATTAATTTTGATAGAAAATTTAGTTAATAAAGTGAAAAATAAAAATAGAATCAATTTAAAATTGAAAAGCAAAAAATATCAATTGATAAATTTATCTAAATAAAAAATTTAGAAATTGGATTTCTTTTGCTTCTTTAATTTATTAATTGCAATTAATAATTAATAAATTAATTAATAAACTAAAAAAAGCAAAAGAAATTCAATTACTAAAGTAAAAAAAAATTAATAAAATCAATGAAGTATGAAAATACTTGAATAAAGTGAAGAAAGTCAATTAATAATAATTAAAAAAAATTAAAAAATAATTATTTCGAAAATACTATTTGATGATAGCATTAAAAATAAATTTGCATAATTTCTAAAATTATAAGTAATTTTCAAATTTTTATTGTGAGTTGCATATTTGTCATGGAGAATTTCGAATTGAAATTTTAGGTATAGAGTTAATTATCGAAAGTCATATGTACACATAGATATATATAGGTTTATAAGGAACGTTTTGCTGCAATGCGTGCAAGCTGATAATTATTTGCGCAAACACGTAGACGATGTCAAACTAAGCAAAAAATTTCATTCCTCTTTTATTTTTCATTATTTATTAATCAAATTTATTATTACTATTTAATTTTACTAATGTTATTGCTTAAAATAAATTACTATACCTATTCTTGATCATATTGCATTTAATAAATAGTTTAAAAAGTTTAAATAAATTAAAAATAAATTCTTATTTTTATTGTTACGACATTTTGTAAAGAGAAATAAAAGGAAAAAAAAATTTGAATAAAAAGAATAAATAGAAATTTTACCAAATAATTTTATAGATAAAATTTTATAATTTTAAAAAGAATATGAGACTTACTCGGCCATAAACCGACGAACATTGTTTGCGTAGAGTTTAGGATCTGTCTTTTCAGCTTCACTTGGTTTATAAACAGGTAAAAATTCAATCTCACAACTGCTGTTCAACTGAGTGAGGGTCAACCACAATAATTTCAATCTAAAAACAAAAATTGTTTCCATATTCATAATTATATTATATATAATTATATGATTAAAAAATAAATTTAATTATAAAACAAAATTTTTCTTATTCTTTTTTCTCATTAGAATTTTTTCACTCATAAAATTAAAATTCCGTTTACTTTAAATTTTCTGAAAAATTCGAACGTTGAAATGAATGAATATTTTTTTCAGTTTAATTTTACTTTATAGTAATTATTTGAAACAATATTTACTGGAATAAAATTAAAATAATAATAGTAAAAAGTTAAATAAAATAAATTTAACATGAAATGTTTATTTAAATTACTAAAACAAATTTTTTTTAATTCAAAAATATGTAGTCAACCAAAAAAATATGTTTGAATTTTTTAGTTTTTGTCTGAGAATTAGAAAAGTGAGAAATGAAATACTTACGCTCCAGGACCTTCCCATGTCCATGTGACTGTGTCTAATTTATTGGGATAGCGTATGCAGACTGGTTGAACAGGCACACCGGGGTAAAATGCGCCAGACTTAAATGTAATCAAGCAAGAGCGATTGGTGCAAGTGCCTTCGGGAAATATCATTACCTAGAACAATTTGTCAAGAAGAATTAATTAACTCAATTAATAAATATATCAAAAATATAAATGAATATTAATAAATTATAGTTGGTTCAAAATTATTTTTACTAAATATAATTTTAAATAATTAATTATAATTTGGTTCAAATAATACATTTCTCTGGGTATTATTAATTATTAATTAATTATTAATTATGATTATTATTATTAATATTATTATTATTATTGTTATTATTATTATTATTATTATTTTTTTTTTAATATGAAAAACTTAATTGTTCGACAAATCGAAATTATGCAGTTATGTTTTCCTTTTTCCTAAAAAAAAATTAAAAAATTGTTGGAAAATTAAAATTAGAAAGTAGAAAATATTTTGCACATTTCCTGCTTTTCAATTACAATTCATAAACAAAGTACAAGTTTTAAGTAAAAAAAATGTTATAAATCAAATTTTGTTTAAGAAATTTTTAATTTATTTTGGAAAAAATATTTACAAAATTTCTATTTGTTGAAAACGATTGTAAAATTATTCGAAAACATCAATAAAACTTCTTTTCTAAATAAATATTCAATCATTTTATTTTTCCACAGGAATTAAGATTTTCAAAACATTCAAATTCAAACCTTTTTGAAATTTAACAACTTATAAGAATATTTATTATAAAACATAAAGATATCGATCACTCCGAGTCTTCGACTCGGAGCAATCAATATCTTCATGTTTTATAATAATAAAAATTAACGAGTAATTAAATCATTATATTATATTACAAGAATATTGTTACTGTCTTCATCAAAATTATTTTTATTTTTTTTTCAATTATTATTTTCTAGAATTTTAAATTATTTTTTATGAAAATAATAATTGAATTCCTGCGTGAAATTTTTATTATCTATGAAAATAATTATATGTTTGCATACAATTTTATTAAAATTCTTTTTAAATAATTGAATTCTTTTTGAGAAATTTTATTAAAATATTACATATTGAAAATCATTGGAATTAGAAAAATGCATTTTATTTTTGAAAATAATTGAAATTAGGACAAGAAATTTTAATTCAATTATTATTTTCTAGAATTTTGAAATATAAAATTCTTCTTTAAATGAATTATCTTTAATAATTTTTGAAAAAGTTCTTTGAGAATTTTCAAATCCATTTGTTTACATTATTCAATTTTACGAAATTTCAATTATTCAGAAATTCTTCAATTCAATACTTATTGAAAAATAAACACTTCAAATAATTTCAGAAAAAAATTCAATTAAACTTTTTCAAAATAATTAATTTTACAAAATTGTTAGTTATAAGTATGAAAAATTAAGATTTTCAATGAATTTAATTTACCTTTTCAAAATTCAATTATTTCTTAAACTTCATGCTATAATGCTTTTAATATTCAGATATTATTTCAATACTTGAAAAATTTGAATAATAAATATTCAAATATTATTTCAATACTTGAAAAATTTGAATACTAAATATTCAAATTCAAAATTTTAACTGAAATTAATTGTTAAATCAATTTTTATTAGAAAATTCTACGAGAATTTCAATTATTTAAATGGAAAAATAAATAATTTATTGAATAATTAAATATTTCTTAAAATTGAATTCTCATAAAGAATTTTATTAAAACATTTTTAAATAATTGATTTTTTTAAAACGATTTTTAATACAATTGTTAAGAACAATTACATTTTTCGACGAATTCGAATAAAAATTGTATTAAAAATAATTGAAATTCTGCAATGACTTTTATTTTTATGAAAATAATTGAATTCTTAAAAAGAATTTTATTATTTATGAAAATAATTCAATCCCTGTAAAAAAATTTATTATTTATTGAAAATAATTAAATTACTGTGAAGAAATTTATAAAAAAAATTGTAAATATAATAGAATTTATATGAAATTGAGAAAAATTTTTTATAATAATTGAAATTTGGCCAAAAAATGTATTAAAATTTTTTAAAAAATTGAATTTTGACAAGAATTTTATTAAAAATTTTTTAAATATAATTGAATTTTGGAAAAGAATTTGATTACTTTTGAAAATAATTGAATTTATGCAATCAGTTATATAATTTTTTCAAAATTCAATTTTTTTTAGTATTTTTGAGTAAAACTCGTCTGTAAATCCACTATTTTTAATAATTAATTAAATTTAATTTAATTCAATTAATTTTTCAATTTTTTAATTTAATTCAATTAATTTAATGCACTAAGATAAAAATTATTTTCCGCAAATAAATTTGCAACTTTTATCAATTTTGATATTATTTTTTTTATTATTTTCATTTTCATTAAAAAAATTTATTTTCTATTATCTATTGACAATTTGGTACTGATATTTATTTAGTTATTTATTTAGATAAAAAACAATTTTACCTGAGGCCAATCTTCTTTCGACGTTGCTCTATCGATAATTTCTTTAATTGTATTTTGCCTTGAATTTGGATCATCTCGCCAAACATAAACGGGTTGCGTATAATTGATGAGTTCTGTAATTATTCATTAGATATATTACTTTTAGTAAAACTTTCCCTTTCAATTATTTAAATAATTCAAATAATAAAAAAAAAATTAAAATTAATAAAATCGTAAAATTATAATAATTATCTAAATATTGACAACAATTGAAAGGTAAATATTGCAATAAATTCGTTACTATTGTAACATTTTTTCCGTCTGTGATCAATTGAAGTTTAATTACTCTTTTTTTTTTTTTTGATAATATTTTTCCCTCAACAATTTTTTTAACCGTTGAATTTCAAATTGAAAAAATCTGCTGGAATTTCAAAAAGAGATTTTTTTAATGAATTTTAATTATTCTCTTTTGGATATTATTTTTTGGACAAAACATTTTTTTCCTTTGAAATTTAATAAAAAATAAAAATTCTGTTGGAATTTCAAAAAGAGATTTTTTTAAATGAATTTTAATATACTCTTTTTTGTGTAATTTTCCCCCCCTAACAAGTTTTCCATATACTTGATTTCGTGTACATATATGGTGAATGTGACTACTCTTGTCTTCTTCTTCTTCTTCATTATTTTTTTTTTTCAAATCATAAATCATATTTAATGTTCATTTTACTAAAAATTAGGACGTATTTTTAATCACAAAGTTTTTATACACTCAATATATATTTATTGTTTATATAAAAAAAAGCTTTGTTACTTTCATATGGAAAAAGTTACCTTGAATTTAAATATTATTTTCATTGTGTATAATAAAAAAAAAAGAGAGAGAGAGAGAGAGAGAAAAAAATGTTAGAAGGAAGGACGTTGAAATATAGGACATTTAAATATGTTTATCGTTAAGTACATTAAATGCTATATAAATGACAAATGTTTACTGCAAATGTTTTGTCATTTATTTATTTTGTATAATAATAAATTATTGTAAAGTTTAATTTTTTGGAAGGGAGTCGCTCATTTTTTTTTTTTTTTTGTAACACTGGGTCGGTGTGCCTTGCTGTAAATGAGTTGCCTGCCCTAGTTAAAGTGTATTACCTGCTTTGAGCATGCGCAGTGTATTTTTATTTTCTTTTTTTTAACTTCGAAAAAAAATTGTTGTCATTTTACAATTGTGAACTTGATAATTTTTTTGTAATCATTCGGGTTTTTAAATATTCATTTTTACTATTTTTATTATTATTATTATTATTGTCATTATTTTTATTCTGAAATGGAAAATTATTTTTTGCCTGTAAAATAATAATAAAAATATTAATAATAATAAAATAAAAATTGAAAACCAATATTTTTAATATTTAATATTATTATTTTTATTATGTTTATTTTATTTTTATTATAAATTATTAGGAATGAAATTACTTATATTAATATTTATTATGAAGAAAAGTAAAATATTTTTTATCGTTTATATCGATATCGTAAATTCGAGGAAAAACTCTTTTCAATCATATATTGATAAAAAGAAGTCTTTTATTTTTTATTAAAAATTGAAAATTGAAAAAATCGTATTTTCAATTGTTAATAAAATTCTTTTTGTGCAAAAAAATAAGAAGAAATGTTTTCAAATAGGGAAAAAATAACTCATTCAATATAGGAGAGAATTTACTTTCCATACAGATCCTCTTATAAAAAAAATATCTTCCGACTGAAATCAAATAAAATAAAATAATAAAGAATATAATAATAAAATAAAATAATCAATAAATGGTAAAGTAAAAAAAAGTAAATAAATAATTGATTTATTATTGGGCTATTATTTCGAAAACAAAAAAAATAATAAGTAAAACATTGTTATTTGACTGTTATTTGCAAATAAAAAAATATAAAAGTAAAATAATGAGTAAATAGTAAAAAATCAAAAATTTATTTTATTATTAGACTGTTATTTTGCAAATAAAAAAATTTTTAAATAAAATAATAAATTATTTATTGTTTGACTATTATTTGCAAATAAAAAAATATTAAAATAAAATAGTAAACAAATAAAATAATAAAAAAAAAATTTTTTAAAGAAAAAACAGATAATAAATAGAAAGTTTAATTGCAAAGACGATTGTACAACAAATAAATTAAAAATTCGATAAATAAAAATAAATGAAATAGAAGATTGTACAACAAAATAAATTAAAAATTCAATAAATAAAAAAAAAGCAGAAGAAGTCTGGATTGTTAACCACACACATATATATTGCAAAAGACATTGTGGTAAGGATTGATTTAAAGAAGAAAAAAAAATTTGATTACATGTTGGGTTTTTTTTGAAGGGGTAAAAAAATCGTCTAGAGACATGAGAGAAAGAGAAAAAAAAGAGTTTGGAAAAAATCATACTTCCGATGAAAGGATTCAATCCTGATTCTCGTCTAACGATGATGGAAGGAAATCCAGTAACATAGACGATACCACCGTCTATAAACGTGGAATGTGGTGCGACCACTAAGATTGGCGCTTCAGCTCTTGATGCTTGTTTTCCACGCACCACAATTTTCATTCCCCCTGCTTGATATGTCAGTCGGCCCAGAAAACATAACCATGGTACTACTTTGCTATATGAGGTTTTAAATCAAATTCAAAATATAACTTCAATTTTTTCACGTAAATTTCAATAATTAAATAATAAATTAAAAACAAAAAATAATAAAAAAAACAATGCTTCCATGAGGAAGCAAAAAAAAAAAAAATAAATGGAAAAATGAGGAAATAAAAAAAAACTAATAGAAAAATTGGAAAATAAAAAAATAAAATTGACAAAAAAGTGGATAATAAAAAAATAAAAAATTAGAGATTATTTTTCAATTTTTAGAGAGAAAAATAAATATTTGATTTGAACACCAGAACTGGATTTTATTATATTTCGTTATTAATAATTCACTATATGTCCTAAAAATGAATAATTTTTATTACCAATGAAGAAAATGAAATAATTTTTCTTTAATTAACTTTTTAATATTCAAGTAAGTTCACTTACTTCTATCCAAATCCCGTTATGATATTTAATGACCGTGGGGAACAGTAGTCAATTATATTCTAATGCAGTCAATTTAATAATTCATTAGCAAATTAAAAAAAAAATTAGTCAATTTATTATTTCAAAAAATAATTTTTTTACTGTATTTGTATAATTACAGTGAAAATTAATACAGTTTTGGAAGTTAATTAGAAGACGGGATTTGAGTAATTAAAACTAAAATTGAGTACAGCTGAGTCAAGTATAAAATAAAAAATAAAAAATAAATAAAAAATAAAAAAATATATAAACAAATATTAAAAAGAAAATTAGATAAGAAAAAAAACATAACTTATAAAAATAAGTGATTAATTAACATAAACAACATTGTCGGTTATTGTAATTCTAATAATTAAAATTATAATTCATACCGTAACTCCAACAAGTAGATAAGTATTTTTTTTTCTTTTCTTTGATAAGTAATCATAATTTTTCTGCATTCAAATAAAACAAACGACTTCAATTCTCGTAATAAAGGAAGTTTCTGTTTTTTCAAACAAAAATAGAAGAATATAGATAAATTGATAATTAATTTCTTTGCGGAAAACTTTTTTAATCAGGAATTACCAATTTTTGAATTTGAATTATAATCATAAATAATTATAATTAAATAATTATAATTATAAATTTCGAATTACAAATATATTGTAATATAATTTGTAATAATAATTTATGATTTATAATTATAATTATAATTATAAATTACAGTGTTGTAAATTATAAATAAAAAATACCTATTTCGATTTTTCTGCTAATATAAATCTGAAGTTTAATAAAATCCAGTTCTGGTGCATTCATTATTATTTTTGAAAATTAGTCGAAAAAAATATACTTTACATAGTCAGAATATTTTACAATTAAAAGAGAACGAAATAAAATAATTAAATATAATTAATTTTTGAGAAAATAAGTGATACAATATTCACCGACACCATTTATTATTATGTTCCCAGTAGTAAAATAATATTAACAATTAACATAATTTTTTCTTATTAATAAAAAATACTGTTAATTTTTTGTTATTAATAAGAAAAATATTGTCAATTTTTTCTTATTGATAAAAAAATATTGTTAATTTGTTCTTATCAATCAAAAAATACTGTTAATGTTTTATTATCAATAAGAAAAATATTGTTAATTTTTTCTTATTAATAAAAAAATATTGTTAATTTGTTCTTATCAATAAAAAAATACTGTTAATTTTTTATTATCAATAAGAAAAATATTGTTAATTTTTTATTATCAATAAGAAAAATATTGTTTTAAAATTTCTTCTTATTAATAAAAAAATTGTTAATCTTTTTTACTAATAACTAAATATTGTTAATTTTTATTGTTTTCCAATTCATATAAATATTAACTTGGAGCATATAAAGTCTATCATTAGAAGTAAGAAGTCACATCCACCATATATATATATACAATAGAATTATAAAAATAATTTTTCTTATTTACCTTTTCTGAATAGTAAAATTCATAGGCAATAAAAATTCATAGAAATATTCCTTAAACCATAAAAATAGGAAAAAAATTGTATACCATTTAGATTTTCACCAGTGTTATTTTGTGTACAATATACGCATATTGAGAAGCAATTCTTACAAATTGGTCTTAAATATAATAATTAGTTTCAGTCGAGTTCAATTTTGTTAAGTTTTTTTTTTAGTCATATTCCCAATCACAAATTTCCTTCATGCTTATTGTTTTTTGCAAATTGTTTGAGAGCACGTATATAAGAAGCATGTCGAGAAAATACAGTATAGTGTGCCTGAATGGATAGTTAATTTGCTTTCATTTTCATATAAGTGCAAAAAAAAAGTAAAAAGCAATAGAATAGCTTCAAAGTGTTGAAAATACGTTTTTTTCAATTTAAAAATTTCTATTTTTAATTTTTATTTGCGAAAAAAAAATAAGAAAGAATAAAAATTTTTATAGAATCCAATTTTTTTCTATAGGAATATTTGGTTCTGTGCTTTTTAGATAAAAAAAATGAAAAATTTACTTTATAGTAATACATCATTCGTGTAATGTTTTTTTTCAACTTTTTCATAAATTTAAAAAATTTGTATCTTTTGAATTTAAAAAAAAGTATTTCTATTTTTTTAGCCTTAAAATTTTAAAGATTTTTAATTTTGATCTTTATCCTTATCGATAATTAGTTTTTTTAATTTAAGAAAAATTCTTCTTTTAACAAATTAATTCATCTTTTACGAGCTAATTACACAAAAAAAATATGTTTGACTCAGAGCCAACTAGACTTTTTCTTTGATTCAAAAAAATGTTATTTGGTTCAAATAAAAATTTTATTATTTATGTAAAATAATTTTCATTTGGTTTAAATAAAAATTTTATTTATGTAAAATAAAATTATTATTTAAAACCAAATAAATAATCAAATTGTCTCCAAGACAAATATACTTTTACTTTAACTAAAAAGTCATTTGAATTAAAATATAAAATTTTTTACTGTGTGCAGTTCTAAGAACTATTTTATTCTTAAATAAATAAAATTTTTAAAAAATAGGAGAATATGATGTATTATTATTAAGCAAAAAAAAAAGAAAAAAAAAACAGTGAAGAGAAAACGTACTTCCGAAAAAGGGAATTGTTGATGTTTCTGCCTTGGCGACAATACTCGGTCCACCGAGATAAACAACCGGAAGTGCATCAAAGAAAGAAGAATGGGGTGCTAGGGCCAATATTGGGGCATCCTTCATTGGCGCCTTTTCACCTTTCACTTTTAAATGATGAAATCCACCGCAGACAAAAAGTGCTCTCATCACCCAGCACACCAGCACCCGCATGTCTCTGCATTATTTTCATTAATTAACACGCAAAATTTTTTTTAAACTACTCTTTTTCATTATTCATTCATTTCCAATAATAGTTTGTCTATTATATTCTCTCTCTTCGAAAAAATTTCTAAAATATGGTAATTTTTTGTGAAAAAAATATTTTATCATTCATTGAATTAAATTACTTATTTCATTTAATTTCATTAATTATCGGATAATTAATTCCATTAGTTAATTCAATTATACTAATTTATTAAATTTTTGATTTAAGTAAATTATAATTAATTAATTATTAATAAAGTAAATTAGTTCATTTAAATAAGGTAATTCAATTAAACTAATTTATCACAGTAAATTAATTAATCAAATTAATTTTATTTGATTAATGATAGAAAAAGTTGATTACAGTCAGACCTCTATAGTCTGAGACACCTTCAACGAAGAGAATTGAATTCTTTTAAATTTTTTCATTTATCGAGGTCTTACTGAATTTTGAAAAATTTTCGATTAAATGAATAATAAAATTTTGTTTTTATACAAATTTTATAAAAAAAATTCAAAAATGTTACTATTATAAATATTATTTTAACTACAATACTAAAATACTATATTACTATAATACCATAACTATAATAATTATTATAATAATAATAATTTTAATTATAGTAATAGCTATTTTTATATATTATGTTAAATTATTATTATTATTATTATTATTATTATTATTATTATTATTATTATTATTATTATTATTGGTTATAAGTATAATATTATAAAACAGTATATATTCTATATTTAATTATTTATTTATCTACACTGAGAAAACAATATATTTGAATCAAACATAATAGTTTTTGTTATACATTAAATTAAAAATTATTTTCCAACATAATAATTTTGATTTAACACATAATACACTGAAAAAAAATTCTTTGACTCAAATAATCGATTACTTGACTATCATCAAATAAAGAATTACTTGAATCAAATAATTTTGTATTTAAATCAATTAAATGGTATTTGAACCATCAATTTAAATATTTGGAGCAAATATAGAGCAAATACTATTTAATTTAAATTAAATTTTTTAATTTAATATTTAATTGACTCAAATAATTATTTACTTGAATCAAATAATTTTATTTGATTCAAGTAAATATTTAATTGATAATAATCAAATAAATTTTTATCCAGTGTCAGTTTGATTTAATAAAAATTACGTTTAATTCAATAATATTGTAAAATATGTTCAATTCAAATATATTTATTTTTTTGGTTGGCTACTTATTTTTGGATTTAAAAAAAAAAGTTTTTCTCAGTATAGTATTATTACCAGTGATTTTATAACAATAATACAATAATATAAAAAAAATTTTAAGTGAAATATAAAAAATATACTTTTATAATTAAATGATAAATAGAAAATAACAATCTATAACAATAGAAAAACTATAAGCGTGCTCTAAAAATATTGGAGACATTACAAAGTTAAGCAAACGACTGAACAAAACAAAGTATTGCGTTGCCGACTATTATTGAATGCTGACGTGTAAAAAAAAATACAACATTTATAATTTTCGACTATTCATGCAGAATTTACAGAAATTTTTTTTAATCCCTTTTCTATATTCTACTAAAGAAAAAAAAGGAACAAATTCGAATAAGTGAATTTTTAATTTACAGCGAAAAATTAAAATGAGAAATTTTCATTATTTTTTCATTCGCAATATTTCTTCTTTTTGTTTTTAATTAAAATTTTTTCTTTTTTTAGTTTTATTTTTTCGAGTGCTTTTTTATATTTTTGTTTTTTAAATACGTATGTTTGGATGCAATCCAATTTAGTATTTAAAAATAATACCACACAGTTGTATAATTATATATAGATAAATATTTATAGTCAACAACAACAATTTTATTTCTGCAACTATTAGAAGTGCCTTAATATGACTCGGTTTTTATAGGGAAATAATTTTTTTTTTCAATTTCGATCAATATTGAATATTTAGGACTTAGTGTAGTGACTTCATATTTTTATTATATTATTATTTTGTTATTATTATTATGTATTATTATTATGTGGACTTATTGTAATTCGAGTTTGTAATATGTCTGTATTTTTTTTCTCGCAAGACCTAAAATTAAAAAAAAAAAAAAAAAAAAAAAAAAAAAAAAAATTATTATTATTAATTTTTTATTTTTACTACCATTAAAATTATCAATATTTTTAATATTTATTTATTGAACCGATTTATTATTATTACAATCATTATTATTAAACATTGAAATAAATAAATTATGATTATTATCATAGTTGAGAATTATCACTGCAAAAATTAAGTATCTTAAAAGTGACTACAAAGTTACTTTTAAGAGACTTCTTTTTGCAATGATATTATTATTTTATTATAAAAAATTTTTTATTTATTTAGTATCAACGGTATTACAAAATAAAAAGAATAACAGACAATTTATAATAATAATTTCTAATTAAATAATTTAAGAATATTAGGGTTTGTTTCGATAAAAATGCTTTCAATAAAATTATAATTATATCAATTTTGTGTGACGGAATTAGAAGTTCATTTAAGCAAAGTGGTTTATACACTACGTTATTTTGATATTAATCTAATAATATTAAGACATTTGACTTTTTTTCACCTATTAGAAAAAATTGTTATTGAAAAAATATTTTTTTTTTTCAAAAAAAATTAGATTTATGTATATTTATATTCGAGATATAATTTAAATATCGAAATTAACAAATAATTAAAAAAGAGGAAATATATTTTATTAAAAAGAAAAGTTCCGGGTTATATTGTTGATATTGACTGAAAAGTTGAAAAGTAACAAAATAAATGGCAATTAAAAGTTGAATAAATTAATAAAAAATGAATATCAAGGTGTTTGGTCAGCATTGAAAAGATTGATTTAACTCTAAATTATTCACGAGTCTCTAAACGTTGTACGCTACTTTTTGTATGGAATAAAATTATTGTGCCTAAAGACACCTCACTATACACGTTTTAAGACTTTTATCATTCTGGTGTGCATGTCGAGGTCGTCTTGTAACATTGATAATGAAATTCTACGATATATTTTCAATATATATAGTGTAAAAAGTAGATATGTATCTGCTTGTATCACTAATTAGGTATTATTTTGTATTTTGTATTTATTACATTTTCTTCTACTTATATAATTATGTATTATGTTTAAATAAATATTTTATTAATATTGAATATTATTATCACTAAGTATTATTAATATTAATATTTTATCACAAATTAGTTTAATAAATAAATAATTTCAAACATCTTTTATCTATTACAGGCCTCGGATCGACTTTAACGAACAAAAAAAGTCGCTTTAGTCGATTAAAAATGGAAAAAAAGTCGAAAAAGTCGATTATTTAATTTAGTGTTGTCACAAATATTTTATTTTCTATTTCCCTGATTCTTCACTGATTTCTAAATTCAATTAATCAAAACATGTATAATTTTGCTAAATAAAATATTTAAATACTTCTTATTTCTTTTTTCACCAGGAAATAAAGTTTAAAAAATTTCAAATTCTGAATTTTAAATAGTAAAAATAGTAAAAATCGAAAAAAGTTGCAGCATTTTATACTAAAACTATATGGTATTCTGTCGCAAAATTTGGAAGAAAAGTCGAAGAAGTCGCAATTTTTTAATATAAGTCGATAAAAGTCACATTATTTGAAAATAGTCGAAAAAAGTCGAAAAAATCATAATATCCGAGGCCTGCTATTATTGAAAGTTTAAAAGAAATGGGTTTTTACACTTCAAAATAATATTAGGGGAGAGTGGGGCAAAATGGGGTACCTTTTTGAAATTGGCTGTTTACAGAGAACCAAACGAATAAATCGATTCAGCTATACTTCATAATTCTTCTTAGTACACTTAGCTTTGAGGAAATTATGATAATAGCGGAGAAAAAATTTTTTGAAAGAACTTATATTGTATTTTCTGGGAAAGTGCTAAAATCTCATTTTGCCCCACCCGTGGGGCAAAATGGGGTGGCATCAAATAACTATACAAAACATTGAATATTTTTTCAAAATTCATTAAATTCTTGTTGTATGAGATTATAAATATGAACAAAAAGTAGGATTCTTTATTACTATGAAAAAACAAGTAATATTTATTAGAATTTAACAAAAAAACATGGATATTGCAAAATATCGATATATCGATTATTAAACATCGATAGTATAAATATCTCAAAACAAAAATGTCGATTCTTCTGCAGGAAACCTTTAAATATGCATAATATAATGTTTTTAAATAGTTTTTATGAAACGGCGTAGCTTCCGGCATACCCCACACTTAGGTACCCCATTCTGCCCCACACTGCATATTAAAACAAAATGCAATGTTCACAAGTTATTGTAAACAATTAAACAATCCATTCTATTGAAAATTACTCTAGAATAAGTACTGAAAAAGATCCCACACTTATGCCAAATTAAATGCATTATCCCAAAAAGTTTGGAGAGCACTTTAATTTTGAAAAAAATTCATATTTTTTTTGCTTAAAACTTAAAAGTTGTATAACTTTCAAAATAAAATTTTCTTTCGAGTGTCTTCATAATTAATAACAGTTTCTTATCAACATGAATGATATATGTCGAGGATAAAAAAATTAAAAGTACTTATCATGGAAAAACAGAGGTACCCCATTTGACCCGCCTACCCCATTTTGCCCCACTCTCCCCTATAGTTTAATAATAATATTCATATTTCATTTAATATTATAATATTAAATTATTAAAATCTATTAAAATTTTTGAAAGTTGAAATTTTAAGGAAAATAATAATTGAATTTTTACGAAGAAATTAATATTATTTTTTTTTTTTTATTTTTGATACCAATAATATTATCTATTTTATTGTTTATACATATTTATCATCAGAATCGACTATTTTTTATTGCTAATGTGTTTGAAATTAATTGTACCTATATTTTATTATTATACGTATTTTTGGTTCTATA